TCACTCTACTTCCTGTTCCTTGTTAGGTTGTGGTTTTAGAGTAGGATCACTTATTCGAAGGTTTATTTGATCTGGATTATATATAATCTGTACACACTATGTGATTATAGAAAGACCAGAAAGGATCGTCCTCATAAAAAATTTAGTTTTACAAAAATGTTTTATTAATCTCGTAAATTCTTTAGACATTCCTATTCTCGTATAAACCAGTTATATATATATATATATATATATATATATATATATATATATATATATATATATATATATATATATATATATATATAACCGCTCCACAACACCAACGACCAATAGAAGAATCAACGAAGATCCAGAAGAAATTCGTTAGGAGGATTCCGAGAAAGAAACAGATAAGGAGTAAAGAAACTATAGAAATCATCTAATGCATTTACCTTATTAAGGGCATCGATGAGAAGTTTGCATGAACTTCCGGGATTCCATACTCTCCATTATGAAGTAATGAGGGTTCAGTGACAAAACTTGAAGTAAGACGGCACGAGAATTTGATATACCTACGAAGGAGAAAGACACCATATAGATACCACGAGAGAACAAATATTTACTGCCAGGAGTAGAACAGAGAACAGAGGGAAGCCACACATGAAACATGCGAAGTGTTTGAGTACCTTTTGCGTCACTCTAATAACTAATAAATTGATACAACCTACTGATTTAGTGATTATACTACTCACATTAGGTATTAAGCTTATCGTCTTTTTCCATCACAACTAATAACAGTAAATTGGATCATGAAATCTCAATTGAGAGTGATTATTTATAAAAATTCATGAGTCTGTTCATGTAGACTCTAGTATGAATTGTTTTCAAATCTTTTTCGAAAGTTGGAACATGATATCCTCCAATCAAAGATAACTTAGTTCGGATGACACTCGCTTTATAACCATTATAAAAACTTACTTCCGCTCTTTACCAGGACTACATCATAGGGATGTAGGTTGAAACATTGAGATTCCTATAACAAAACGAAAAACTTATATGTATATATAAATAATTATAATGAAACTACAAACAACCATTGTTGTTCACGAGCTCGTTTTCTCATCATGTAGCAGAACCATGCCTCCAAAAAAACATAACCAACCCATCGACAAAGCACCAATCCTTCAGATAGATGTAGTTACTTTTCAAGTTGCGGCCACAGCTGTCATGGCTCACCTTAATGCTAACAACGCAAATGTTAGTGGAAATGTTATCGGCAATCCCAATCATGGTAGTAACCAAGTACAGCAACAAGTGCCTATTTGTAAAGACACTCCAAACCTCAAACCTAATATCCTGAAATGAAAGTTCGAGAACGAGAAAGGGAGTAGTTCAACTCAAGGACCTAATGAAGGGCAACAAACTGGGATATTCAATATCCACATCAGCCCTGCTATCCCAACACCGACCACACCATACCTAGGAAACCTCCCACACTGCAGCAAGTGCAACTACCATCATTATGGAGTCTACCGAGTGCTGCATTGCAATAGATGCAACATGAAGGGGCATACCACCTACTTCTGTAGGACTCCGGTAGGGTTCATCACTTCAACCACTAATGTTGGAATCTGTCCAATATACCATCTATGTGGAGAAATAGGTCATTTCAAGAGGGATTGTCCAATAGAGAGGAATGACGGGGGAGTAGGAGGAGTTTAACCACGAAACATGAAGAAGCATCAAAGAACCCTGCTAGAATTTTGGGTACACTTCCAAACCATAATAATTAATCATAATTATAATTACTCTCTCGTTCGAACAAAATCATAGCACTCATATAAAACTAAGAACCCTAGCAGGTAAGCGATGATGGCTTAGTCTATACAATAGAGTCATTTATAATTAAGATTTGTAGACTTACAGTGAGTGATTTCGCCTTATTTCCTATTCCTTTTTTGGTTATGGATTTAGGGCAGGGTCACTCAGTCAACTATCTTTCCAATCTTAATTATACATGACTTGTATACACCAAGTGGTTATAGAGCGACCTAGTAGGGATTATTTCATGAAAGTTCATTATTTCAATTTATCAGGAACCTCTTTTAGTTAGTACTGGTTAATGTCGGTACAAAAAGGGTTCGCAGTAATAATACCGAGGATAAACCGAAGGCTCTAAAAACCTATGTTCGTAGGATAGTTCATCATCCTAGTAACCACTCCTTCCAAATTGACTTAATATCTATTACGTTGAGGAGTTCCGACGTCATCAGTCGACATGGTTTGGTTTGATCCTCACCATACCAATTTTCTATGTTGTGTAAAGAACTTTCCCTTAATTAACCGTCCAATGAAAATTTTTCAATCCATAATGCAAACCCTTATATTGTTTCTCGTTTCAAAACTTCAAAAGTACCCATACGAGGGGTACTACGCCCTTCTAGCCTACTCAGTAGATAGGAAAATTGAAGTGAAAAGAACCAAAGAAGTCTCAGAAGTCAGTAACCACCCGAAGTATCCCTAATAGATCTCTTAGGAATACCACTTGTACTGCAAGTCAAGTTCGAGATTAGAGACTAAGAACTCATAAGGTTAACCTATCACTACTAAGTGTATATGCAAGGGTGATATATAATTTAGACTCAACAAGATTTAGGATGTGTGATTCCACCTTATTTCCTATTCCTTACCTGGTTGTGGATGTGGGGCAGAGCCACCCATCTGAACGTCTTGTCAATCTTAATTATATACGACTAGTATAACGAAGTGATGATGGACGAGCCAAGTATGAGCCTTACCATGAACTTCAAAGAAAAAGCCTTCATCATATATTCAACTAGAAGGAGCTTAACATGAGACAACGACAATATGGCCGAGTTACTAAATGACAACAAATGCGAAATTGGTTATCATCCCGGTTAAGCCAATGTAGTAGTTGACGCCTTAGTTGGAAAGAGTACTCCACGTAGAGTCCAATCATTGACTATGACAATCCATTCACATCTGTCCACACAAATCAAGGTGGCTCAATAGGAAGTCATTAAACCTGGAAAGGTGACAAGTGAAACTCTGAGAGGGATGGATAAGAACTTAGAAGTCAAGGGTGACAGAGTATACCTCATGGATCGGAGCTGAACACCAAAATTCGGTGGCTACGAAGAAATTGACATGGATGAAGCCCATAATACTTGATACTCCATTCATCTAGATTCAAAAAAGAGGTATCTAGATCTCAAAAAGTTATATTAGTGGCCTGGCATGAAAACATATATTTCTACCTTTGTAGGCAAGTATCTTACCTACACCAAAGTTAAAAGTAAAATATCAAAAGCCTGTAGGCTTACTACAAACAACCGGAGATACCTGAGTGGAAGTGGGAGCAAATTACAATGGGCTTCATAATCAAGTTACCCAAGACAACGGGTGGACTTGATACCATTTTGGGTGATCATCGACAAATTAACCAAGTCCGCGCACTCCCTGAAATTTTAAAGAAACATGAAAGATAGAGAAGCTAAATAGAAAGTGTGTATGAGAGATTAGTTAGACTGTACGGTATTCCAATACATGTTATCTTTGATCAAGATAGTAGAATCACCTCACGATTCAGATAGTGACTTCAAAAATCTCTGAGGACTAGAATAGACATGGAATAGCCTACCGTCCACAAACCGACAACCGGAATGAGAGAACGATTCAAACATTACATGTCATGCTGAGAGCATATGTGATCGACTTTGGTAAAGCATGGGATACCCATTTGCCAACTAGTCGAGTTCTTTACCATACTAGCATTAAAGTTGCTCCATTCGAAGCCCTCTATGGTCTCAAGTGCAGATCCTCTCTACACTAGACTAATGTAGGTGACATGCAACTAGCTAGAGGTCAAATTCCAGACAATACCTTCGATGGTATGGAAATCATCTGAGAAACTACCAAGAAGAGAGTACGGATCCGGGAGCGACGTAAAGCTTCCAGAGTCAAACAGAAAAGCTACGACTTCAATAGGAGAAAACCCTTGGAATACCAGGTTGGTGACCAAGTCATGTGAAGGTCTCACCCTGGAAGGGATGATACACTTTGGAAAGCATGGAATACTAAATCCAAGGTACATAGGACCATTCGAGATTCTTAATAGATCTGGTCTAATAATTTATAGACCCCGAATACCTCGAGAATTCAATAAAATAAACACTACCTTCCACGTCTTCAACTTCAATAAAAAGTGTTTGTCCGACGAGAATTTTTTATCCCACTCGATTAGATTGAGGTAAACGAGAGCCTCAGCTTTGTGGAAGAATCCATAAAAATCCTAGATAGTGAAGTCAAGAGGACAAAAAAAAACCGTATCCCAATATTGAAGGTCCGCTAAAATGCAATGCGAGGACCTGATTTCTCTTAGGAGCGGGAGGAGCAAATGATACATAAGTATCCTTATCTTTTCCCTTCATCCATGTGTATCTCTTAGGCTAAATTTCGGGACGAAATTCCCTTTAACGGGAGTTGATGTGACAACCCGAAAATTTTATTCTTTTAAAAGTCAAACTTAGTCAACGAAAGTCCCACATATCAATTAAAGGTCAAATTTATTAATTTAATTACCTTAACAATACTTAGAGTAATAAGTTATAGATGTATGGACTTTGTATTCAAAGTGTAGTGTATTAAGGAGGAAAATCACTTAGGAACCGATAAGCCCTTATCCGAACCCCAAACTTTGTATGGACCACAAACATCGCAGAACCGAACACACCCTCGTAGCCGTGAACTCTTCGGCCGTGAACTGTCCTCAGTCGTGAACCCTTTTTTGGGAACGTACACTCCTCCATATATATATATATATATATATATATATATATATATATATATATATATATATATATATATATGAGTTTGGCTGATTTTATCCTTCACTTTTTCACTTCAGGCTGTGAACTCAAGCATTCTCTCTCAAGTATCATCAACCTAAAACCCTTATCTCTCCTTAAAATCATACGAAGCATCTTCCTTCTTATAATTCATATGGAGTTCTCTTGATTTCAACCTTGATTCTTCATTATTTGTAAAGACTCTTGGGCCGTGATCACTAAGATTGGGTCGTGATCACCCAGATTGTGCCATGAAGTCAAGAACACCAAGTATTCTCTGGCCGTGAACACACAACCTGGCTGTGAGCAACAAGTATCCCTTTATATTTTCTTCTAACTTGCTTATTTGGCCGTTTTTTTAACAATACTTCACTTGTGGAGTTAACGTTCTATATCACATCTTCAATCGAATCCCCAACATAAGGTGAGTTCATACCCCTATGATCTACCTTTTTAAATGGTTTTAAATGATTTTTAGGGAGGAATACAAGTTGAACAAAATTAAATTGTGTTAATATTTAATTGTGATAGTGATGAGACAAAGAATCAAGTGTTGATTGAATTGGAATGTAAATTCAAAGTAAGATTGAAAGATTTGAACATTGATGTAAATATGATCTATTTGGCTCTATTACAGATTATTAGTTTTACAGAGTACAAGTGAAAGTTCTGTAAAGACTTCGTTCCTAAGACACCAGTAACAACTCCTATTTATAGGAGATGAAAGCGTACAAAAAATATACTAAGGACTAAACATGATGCTTCGAATATTATGCCCTAGTAAAATACATTACAAATTTTTTCAAAGATACTAAAGACAGATTTCGACTCATTACAACATTTTGAATCTTACAATCTCCCCCTTTGTAATCAAATTTGAAGTCTTCAGTTTATGAGAAGTGTAATGGCGTATAGCAAAACTCTTCGAACCTCAGTATACCAAGAAATAATTTTCTTCAACTCCTTCTTGTCTCCTTCATTGTTCTTCTTGAAGTGGTTCATACAAACAATCAAGTTCGTATATTGAGATGTAGAATATCTCTCCACTTCGCTAGTTTGGAATAAAAACCTCTTCGCTTTTCCAGCTTTATCCTTTCCATCAAAAACTATCCCAAATGGCTTAAGACAAATTTCTCCATCAACATATTTCTTTAACTCAACCTGTGTCTTTGAAGGAGCCACTAGAGAATTTATTTCCATTCCCTTGGCAGTTGCCAACTCCACATCAGTTAGAGCTAGACACTCGTAGTAATTCTCTATGAACATCTTGATGTGGGAAACTCCAAGTTTGAATTCCTCTGGATCTGTGTTTTGAAGAAAAGAAAAAGATTTGTCTTTCAAAAGCAATGCAACTTGTATAAGGTCATACATGTTCATCAGAGGAAAGTCTGCAATCGTAAATTCACATATTTTCCATTCGCCCTTGAAACCACATACTTGATGTTTTGGATTGTGTTTTCAAAAACCACATCCTTTTTCATACTTATCACCTTCTTGATCTTGATCAGAGACCAAACATCATCAGGAGCTTTACCAAGTACCGTATGAAAACGAATTTTCATATGAGTCCCTTCATCTTTTTCTTTGAAATTCGCTTCAGCTTTGAATTGAGGCATGATAAACATCATCTCATTTATAGGTAAATCCAACTAGCAAGCATCAGAATTTGTGATCACATAACTTTGCTTGGGCTTCTTTTCGAATGTATACATGTGGTTGAAAGCAACCTTGGCTTCGATTGTTTCATAGTTATAGTGTTTTGCCGGATCACCTTTATTCATCCCCTTCGGATCATTTTCCCTCTGAGTCATTATACTTTGAACAATTCTCAGCTTTTCAATCTCAGCTTCAGCCTCAACCTTCTTTTCTTCTTTAGATTTTTCTATAAGAATTGATTTTCCTTTATCTGTAGATACCTCTTTTGGCTTTGACCCACTTCCTCTAGATTCCAAAGGTTTACCAATTACAATTCCTTTCAAAATTGTTCTTGTAATTGGCAATGTTGTTATGATTGTTGAGGTCACTGGTTCAGCAGACACTATCACTGGTTTTGTTGAAGGGATTTTTGAAGAGAATACCTTGCCCACCACTTCCGCTTCTTCTTCTATTAACTTCCTTTCTCCCCCTTGCACCCCTGTGAAAACAGGAGGGGTAGTAGTTGAGGGAACAAGACTGGATTTGCGAAATAGTTGAGCAAGTTGCTTGTTAAGTATAGCTTCGAACTGCACAAAATTCTGGGATAAAAATTCTGGAGAAATCAAAGGAGACAAAATAGGTTTCGTTGAGATCTCTTTCAATTCCTTTAACAACTTCATCACACCTTCAAAATTTCCACTTTCAGATTTGGAGAGTTGAGTTAGTTGAGGACTCAAATCTTCAAATAGCTTGACAAAATGAGTTACAGCATCAAAAATGATATCGACCTTCTGATGCAAGGACGCATAATCATTCTGAACATAAAAAATTTCCTTTTTCATATCTCCACGAAGTTCGTGAATTTGTGAGTTAACATCCTCCTTCACTTTCTTCACCTCCTGAACAAAAAGAACATGACGTTCTTTTGTTGTGATTTTTAGATCTTTAACTTCTCCTATAAAATCAGATCTGAGAGATTTAGCACGAAGCTCAGAATTCTGATCTATGTAATCAACCTTCTCTAGAATAGCAGAGTCTGAGGCTTTCAACATTCCAGAAACCTTGTTGATTATTCTTGATTCAAACATCTTGAGCATGGAATCAACCTCCAAACTGGAAATAGATGAACTTCCTCCAAGATCAGCTTGGGATTGAATGGTGGAGTTTAACTTTTGATTAAGAATCTTGTATTGCTTCATTGTCATCAGCATGTGTTCAGGAAATTCTTCTTCATCTTCATTGAATTCCCGATTTTCGAACGTACCTCCAAACCCTTCATTATCAGTGTTAGTCGGTGAAGATGGTTTGGGTGTATCAGTGGATTGAGAAGGAAAAATGGAAGTGAATGGTTGATTGAGGATATGTTCGAAGGTTGGTGAAACAGTGGTTGATGTGAGAGGAATAGTAGATGTTGGTGTAAAGATAATTGTACCTTGAGCGACATCTTTCGAACCTCCTTCACCCATGTTAACATTTGCATCCGTATCTGATACGTGTGAAGGGATGCATGAAGTTCGAACCTCCTCAAAAATTGACTTGGCAATCGAAACTTCGGGTGTTTTGATAACATTCGTCTCAGGAATGGAACTTGTAACAATAGGAGTGAACTCTAGAGTTTCTGGGATTCGTTCATCTTCATCTGTAGACTCAGTAGATAAAACAAGCTTGCGAGTCTTCTTCAACTTCTTCTTCTTTGGTTGTGACGATTGTTTTGCCATATCTTCTGCTACTCGTTTCTTGGACCCAAGAGAAACAGGAGCAGGTACACCACGAATTAAAATGCCTTGGTGAGTAATTTGAGGTTTGCGAACCAACTTCTGTGATGATGACTTTCGTTTGTGGGTAGACTTCATCTTGATTCTTCGAAACATCCCAGTTTTCGAAGGAATAATAACATTCTCTTGAGTTTCGTCCACCATTGGCTCAACCACATTTGTTTCATCAATTGTGACTTCAACATTTTCAGTTTGCTTCTTTGAAGACTTTGAGGTTTTCGAACCCTTTTTCTTTGGTTCAGGTGAAGTAGGAACAACCTTCTTTGACTTTTTCAATTTCTTTTCTTCCCGTGGCAAGAAAATTCCTGTTGGAATTGATGAATCGATTGTTTTCAGATAGGCAACCAAAACTAGATTCTTAGGATCCACCCTGTTAAGCATCACGTCTGGAATCCGAGCAACTTATGGAAATTCATCGGCATCATCATCAATAACCTCATTCGAACGTACCTCCAAACCCTTCATTATCAGTGTTAGTCGGTGAAGATGGTTTGGGTGTATCGATGGATTGAGAAGGAAAAATGGAAGTGAATGGTTGATTGAGGATATGTTCGAAGGTTGGTGAAATAGTGGTTGATGTGAGATGAATAGTAGATGTTGGTGTAAAGATAATTGTACCTTGAGTGCCATCTTTCGAACCTCCTTCACCCATGTTAACATTTGCATCCGTATCTGATACGTGTGAAGGGATGCCTGAAGTTCGAACCTCCTCAAAAATTGACTTGGCAATCGAAACTTCGGGTGTTTTGATAACATTCGTCTCAGGAATGGAACTTGTAACAATAGGAGTGAACTCTAGAGTTTCTGGGATTCGTTCATCTTCATCTGTAGACTCAGTAGATAAAACAAGCTTGCGAGTCTTCTTCAACTTCTTCTTCTTCGGTTGTGACAATTGTTTTGCCATATCTTCTGCTACTCGTTTCTTGGACCCAGGAGAAACAGAAGCAGGTACACCACGAATTAAAACCCCTTGGTGAGTAATTTGAGGTTTGCGAACCAACTTCTGTGATGATGACTTTCGTTTGTGGGTAGACTTCATCTTGATTCTTCAAAACATCCCAGTTTTCGAAGGAATAATAACATTCTCTTGAGTTTCGTCCACCATTGGCTCAACCACATTTGTTTCATCAATTGTTACTTCAACATTTTCAGTTTGCTTCTTTGAAGACTTTGAGGTTTTCGAACCCTTTTTCTTTGGTTCAGGTGAAGTAGGAACAACCTTCTTTGACTTTTTCAATTTCTTTTCTTCCCGTGGCAAGAAAATTCCTGTTGGAATTGATGAATCGATTGTTTTCAGATAGGCAACCAAAACTGGATTCTTAGGATCCACCCTGTTAAGCATCGCGTCTGGAATCCGAGCAACTTGTGGAAATTCATCGGCCTCATCAACAACCTCCTTCGGAAAGTGATAATCGTGAAAAGTAGCCTTCTCTTCTTCATTTGAAACCAAGATGCCTTCCTTATTGTAAAAATGTTGCAGAATAAGGCTCCAGTACCGAGCACACGAAATGCCATGAACAACATCTGTATGTTCTACACCTTTTTGGAATTCCTTCCATAACTGTGTAGAATAATCCGCTGGAAGATCATAATACAATCCTGCCACCATGGCGTAAACCTCCATCCGTACTTTGTCTAACCCAACTGTTCTTCCGGTTAAACAACGTAGAAAGATCCCAAACAAGAAATTCCATAGTTTTGGAAGTCCAGATTTCTTAAAATCACTTATTTTTGACAATAGGGGTTGATGTCCCATTTCATTAAACATATTAATAATTTGTGGAAATTGGAATTCAGCAAAAGGATGGGTATTCGGAACATCAAGAATCTGGCAGAATAGTTTCTTGGAAAGCCTAACCTTTTTGTCATTAATCAGGAGGAAAGTAATCGAATCAGAGTGTTTGTTATATGTTGCAGTAGATCCTGCTTGAGAAAGCCAGGATATCGGAATAGAAAAGGAATTGAACATGGCTTTGGATAAAACAGAGTGTTTTAAAGCAACAATAAGCATCTTGAATTCTTCTGGACATTGAGAAATTTCACCATTGGCATAATAATTTGTAGACTGAATCTTCATTACTGGAGCAGAGGAAATATCTTCAGTTGAAGGATCAACGTGGGCAACAGTTGCCATTGTTAGGGTTTGAAGAAGATGAAGAGTAGAGAATTTGGGAATGTTTAAGTTTGATTGCGTAAACGTAGAAAGTACTCTTGAACCCCCTTTTATAAGTAACCCTGAATGATTTGAATTTGAAGTGGGATGCATTTAATGATATCCGACATGGCACCTTGAAATCGGACCATTACTGCGGAAAGGTAGCCATGCGTCAAAAAGTAACTGTCACTTCTTCTAGAAAACCAGACAGAATACTATACGTCATTGATTAACCGCCTGTCATTATCCCCCCAAGAGAATTGTAACCGGCAGAACCCTTCGAATGGAAGCAAGGCTCTTTCAAATTTGGGATTAAAAGCGAAGTCATATGCTAGATGTTCAAAATCATCAACCTGAGTTTGTATTACTCAGAACCTCAACGATTTCGTGTGTGCAGTGTTCCAAAGAAAGTTAGACAAGAAACAATTTTTTTTTTTTGGAATGTAGTGATGTCAAAAATGCAATTTGACACGAAGGCAGTTAAACCCCAGGCAAAGGTTGTTTCGTTAATCATCAAGAGAGATGATCAACAACTTGTGTATGTTCCCGTGAAATACAATCGAATACTTTTTAATAAGTATTAAAGGGTTTCTTTTGAAAATGCTTCGTGGGTAGGTTCAAAATTTCATTACATGTCAACCTAAATATAAGGTGATAAAGTGTAACAAAAATTACTTGTTTGAACAGTGTAGCCAGTGACAAGTTGGCTTTGAAATTTTTTAACATAACTGGGACATTCGAATGAAACTCACACTGAAATCATATTCATGAAAAAATTTGTTTACTGGATCTTGTTGGGTAACAAACATCGTGGGTTTCGAATGTTTGATCAAGACCACTCATTCGAAATGAATATGATTTGGAGTTTCGAACCTTGGTACAGAAACAAAAGTTTCGTATATATCTGGAACAATGTTCCCCATCAATTCCTTAATTTGCAAGATGTTTGGGTTTCACTTTCATCACGGACTCATGATGTCAGATCATAAACACGGAGTTGTTATATATCTAAGTCTCGATGGGTTTGATCAGAGAACTCTTGGACATAAGTCTTTGTGTGTGATCATGTAAGAACTTTATGGATGACAAAGATTGGTAAAAGACACGAAAAGTACCTCTGTTATGTTTTGGACTAAACAGAAAAATCTTTACTCAGTTTGAGAAGAGTAAGGTAGCTTAGAGACTAATGTGAATATAAGCCTGATTGGGAAGAAATTTTCATATGAAAAATTTCATTAAGGCTTTCATACACATACATTGAGTCATGGAGGCTTTGGACAACATGCAACAGCATGCTTCTAGGGACATCCTAACTAGTTCGAATAATGAGAAACATATCATACGAAAAAAAAATTACCTAACCCTTATGCTGCTTGCATTGTCGTCTCTGAATCATCATCATAATTTGCAATAAAATTCTAAAAAGAAGTAAAAATATTTTTGTTGTTTTTGAATTTTTCGAAAATAAAAACATAACAAAGTAAAATCTTTTTGGATTTTTGATTTTTCGAAAATAAAAAAACAAAACAAAAGAAAATCTTTTTGTATTTTTGATTTTTCGAAAATAAAAAAAACGAAAGAAAAAAAAATTATTTTTGGATTTTTGATTTTTCGAAAATATAAAAAACACAACAAAAGAAAATCTTTTTGAATTTTTGAGTTTTCGAAAATTTGACAAGGAAACTGAATTTGTTGTATACAGACAAATGACAAATATATGAATTCGAAGCGTTCGAAGCGTTGACTATTAACAGTAACCACTACCTCAACGCTGAAAATAAGTAACAAACGTATGAATTCGAAGCGGTCGAAGCGTTGACTATGAAAAGTAACCGCTGAATGCTGAATGACTTTGCTTTATGTGTTATACAACCCTCTTATTCATTCTTTGTCACCCATCAGTCTTCTTTTTCGCATGGAGCAAAATTTCCATCGATCATTCGAAGTCCTTCTATTATTCTCACAAATGACTTTTCATCCAAGGGTTTCGTGAAAATATCAGCTAACTGATCAGTTGTTTTCATGAAGTGTACTTCAATGTTCCCATCCTCCACGTGATCTTTAATAAAATGATAACGAAGAGCTATGTGCTTAGTCTTCAAATGCTACACAGCATTATGACAAATTCTTATTGCACTTTAAGAATCACAAAATGGAATCTTTTTCATATTAATTGCATAATCACGTAATTGACTTTGGATCCATATGATTTTCGAAGTGCAAGCAGCAGCAGCCACATATTCTGCTTCAGCTGTGGAAATTGATACACATGTTTGCTTTTTCGACTGCCAACTAACTAATTTGCCATCAAGAAATTGACATCCTCCACTTGTGCTTTTTCAATCAAGATTGCAACCACTTAAGTCTGCATCTGAGTATGCTTGAACGAAGAATCCGGTTTTCGAAGGATACCACAATCCTAACAAAATTGTTCCTTTAAGATAACGAAAAATATTCTTCACAACAATTAGATGTGGTTCGCGTGGATTAGACTGATACCTTGCACAATTACACACAGAAAACATGATATCAGGTCTACTTGTTGTAAGATAAAGTAATGAACCAATCATAATCCTATACAACGTTATATCAACAACAGGTTTGTCTAACGATAGTGTTAGCTTTATGCCCGTTGCCATTGGTACACGAAGCTTTGTGCTATTCGTCAATCCAAACTTTTCTCGCAGATTTTTTGTATATTTTTCCTGATTAATGAAAATCCCATCTCTGTTTTGACGAATATTCAAGCCAAGAAAATTATTGATTTTTCCCATCGTGCTCATTTCAAACTTGCTTTTCATCAAATCTTTGAATTCTCTAGACAAAGCAGGGTCAGTCGAGGCAAAAATTATATCATCAACATAAATTTGAACAAACATAAGATGATTCCCCACTTTCTTTCGAAATAAAGTGGGATAAACAGATCCTTGTTTAAATTTTGATTGTTTCAAAAATTATGTAAGAGTTGCATACCATGCTCGTGGTGCTTGTTTCAAACCATAAACTGCCTTATCTAAAACATAAACATGATTAGGATATTCTTCGTTAATAAAACCTGGAGGTTGTTCAACATAAACAGTTTCTTCAAGCTCTTCATTTAAAAATGCATACTTCACGTCCATTTGATAAACATCAAAATCTTTGTGAGCTGCATAAGCCAGAAATATTCAGACCACCTCGAGTCTTGTGACAGGGGCAAAAGTTTCTTCATAGTCGATTCCTTCTTGTTGTGAATATCCTTTTACAACAAGTCTGGCTTTGTTTCGAACAATGTTTCCATCTTTGTCGGTTTTATTTTTAAAATCCATTTTAACCCGACAATCGAAATATTTTCAGGTTTAGGAATTAATCTCCAAACCTTGTTTCGTTCTAATTCTGACAATTCAGATTGCATTGCCACAAACCAATCTAGGTGTTGCATTGCATTCTTAACTGTTTTTGGTTCAATTTTAGATATGAAAACATTAAACACGCAAAAGTCTTGATGAGTATTCAATACCTCATTCTTTGCATGAATTTGAGCTCTTGTCATAACTCCCTCTTGTGGATTCCCAATTACTTGATCCTTCGGATGATCTCTTGTCCATTTTTCCATTGGTGGATATGCTGGATCAAATTCCAAAGGTGCATCTTCGTATAATTCATCATTTTCTGAGGTTGCATTCGAATAAGCATCATCAACATTATGCTCCCCCTCAACAACATGCTCCCCCTCAACTTCAGCATTCATTTGATCTGTCTCTCCCTCGAAAGAATGTTCTTCATCATTTAAAGTATTCGAATCCAATTGCTCCCCCTCCACTGGACTGTTTTGCATACTTTGGCTTTGTTGTGAAGTTGATGTAGATTCATTAGTTAACTTTGCAAATTCTAGTATGTGATTA